TAATAGTAACACTGGAGGCACAAGACTGAGCACTAGTTCTCTTAGATGTGCGCCGGAAGCAGTCATGCTCGCAGCGCTAATCCTAAGAGTTGTTGTAGCGTGTAGTGCGGAGCATGCAGCACAAACCCCACTGAGATGAGCAGAAGCATCTGGAAATCCAAGAGCAGAACGGGCAGAAGCAGAAGCAGCACTCGAGGCAGTACCAGACACTTCGTCAATAGCAATACCCTCGTGGTGCTCATGTCTGTGGCCTTTCAGCCACGGCGCGGACGTGGACGGAGAAGTGCAACGGAATTTGCCATCCTGGATTGTGCGGCGGAGCAGGCTGCCCCCGAGTGTGGAGCGCGCTCTCCCCTGTGAAGGAGGGGGGGAGAGGTGAAACTTCAGAGGAGCACAGAGTAAGCTGCTCCTGCCAGGGCAAAGGACACAAAAAGAAACTCCTGAGTGCGGGGGACATCCCCCCTCTTGTTCATACGATTCCTTCCTCCTTTTCTTCTTCTCCTTCTTGTTCCTGTTGTAATGATCCGTACCATCCAGGTCATTATCATGATTATGCTTATTCTCTTGTGTTGGTAATCCGATTCGTATCGTCATGACGCCCAGCGATGTCTCACGACGCGAGGGGGTTCTGCGGAGGCAGCGATGCGGCCGCAGCCAGCGGCCAGCGGCCGTCGGAACCGGGCCACCTTTTCGCTGCCGCGGGGGGGGGGCCGGGGGGGGGCAACGCGCACCGCCGCGCGGCCGAGGGGGCCGGCCGAGGCAGCGGCGGCTCTCGCGCCCGGCCGAGCTCGGTCCCCCGACCGATCCCGGGGCCCATGACCGCGAGAGGAGGAGGAGGAGGAGGAGGAGGAGGAGGAGGGAGGAGGAGGAGGAGGAGGAGGAGGAGGAGGAGGAGGAGGAGGAGGAGGAGGAGGAGGAGGAGGAGGAGAATGAGGAGGAGGAGGAAGAGGAGGAGGAGAAGGAGGAGGAGGAGGAGGGGGGGGTAGAGGAGGAGGAGGGGGAGGAGGAGGAGGAGGAGGAGGAGGAGGAGGAGGAGGAGGAGGAGGAGGAGGAGGAGGAGGAGCGCCAGTAGCTTCAGCGAGTCGGTCGAGCTCAGCCTAGACGCCTCGGCCTGAGCCAGCTGTATGGCCTAGCCGCATTGGGCGGAGGGGGTAGAATCGAGTAATTGCTTGGCATTTTGGCCAATGCCGCTTTCAAAGCATCGAGCTGCTGCGGGAGAGTTAAAGGGCGTCCGTCTTGATGCGAAACCATCTCCTTGGCAACGTGGTATATATAGAAACTGCGAGCCGTTGCTAAAATAACACTATCCCGGGTGAGGTCAAATGCCGAATATTGTGTAGGGAGACCAAGACCGAGGCGGAGAAGGGGACACGGCGAGACGACAGCACGCGGACGACAAACGAGGTGAGTGAGGCGGGGGCACTTTAAATAGTGTGCTATGCTATCGGGGTGCGAACATCCGAAAACACAGCTCCATAAAGTATCTGTAACGTGCATTCGGCCCGTGGTGGTCCATCCCCCCGAAATCGTTTTGAGGTGCGGCCAGCGAATGATCGGAGGGGCCCGGCGCAGGATTTCCCGCACCAGGTCCCATCGAACTCGCATGTTTCGGGGGGCAGGACAATCGAACCAGGACCGCAGGCGCCTCCCAATTAGGAGCTCAAACTTTCGGGATAGGCAAGGCTCGCAAGGGTGCGCGCATAGAGGCCTTGCATCTTGGGCCGACGACCCTCCCGCGTGGCCTCGCGCACGGCGATTCGTGCACGGCGTTGGGCGAGGCGAAGCTGCACAGAAGAGAGGGGGGGGGTGCGACATCGGCATGGCGGAGCAAAGCTTGCGCATAGTATTGGACAATCGCCTGGCGGTGCTGCCAGCACGGAGCACGCCAGCTACCCTGTACGAGGTCGACTGCTCCGAGGCCCCCGGCAGCACCCGAGGCCTCCGCGGCGTCCCTTAGACGGCGAAGGAGGGGGCCCCAGAGAGAGTCGAGCGTGAGTGAAGCGCAGCGCCAGGCACAAGCGAGCGAAGAAGGGACAGGGGAAGGGGACCAGGTGCCAAGAGAGAGGAACTCAGAGAGAGCGAAGGAGTTGGGAGGGAGGCGCAACGATTTGTGCAGGCCCCACAGCTCTTTCTTCCGCATGGTGTCGCTAATGGGGTAAAACTGCGCCACATAAGACGTGCAGGACAGAACCGACGAGTTGTGCAATCTGGCAGAGACGTCGGCGGAAGAGGCAAGAGCACCGAGCTCAATGCATCTGCTGCGCCACTTCATGAACGGGACATCCCATTCATTATCGAGGGTCGCACCTGGTCCCTGCAGGGTTCCGAGATATTTAGCCTTAGGTGCGACCAGAAATTTAGACCAGCTGGGGGCACACAAAAAGAGCTCCGCCTGGACAACGGATTTGACCTCATCTGCAAGGTCAACCCACAGTGGAACGATGACGCACTTGACGGCCTGCAGAGATAATGCCGCAACCTGTCGCAGCCGGAGAAAATGGGGCTCAAGGACCCGAGCCGTCTGCAAGGCACGGAAGACCGTGCCGATGTCATCCGCGCAGGCTCCGAGGGAACCAAGCTGGTGAGTGGGAAGCTCTCGAGAGAGGAGGCGAAGGAAGGGGTCGAGTCCAAGCGCCCACAACGTGCCACTGAGAGGGCATCCCTGGGCAACGCCCGAGAGGATTGGGATCTCGCTCACGCGCTTGCCTCCTACATTGACATATCCCATCATGCTGGAGCATAATCCGGCAATGGCATGCCTGTATCCCAGAGGAATTTTGAAACGCTCCAACACTTTGCTCAAGTAAGTTATGTTCGGGCTCGCTCAAGCCGACGAGAAATCAAAGCTAATAAAAACTGGATGGTTCGCCGCGGCCCTGGGCTCCATTGAAGCGATCCGACATTCTGTGTACATGACAAGAATGTAATTGATGAAATTCCGCCCCGAGATGAAGCCTTGCTGGTTCTCGTCGGTGCCGCACTCGGCCACGCGCTTGAAAGTCCAGTTGATGGCCAAGGCGATGGCCTTCGAGTCCTGGTTCTTGAGGCTCAGCGGCCTGGTCTGGTGAGGCTGGCGAATGCAGTCCACTCGGTCGCTGCGGCCCTCCTCGGGCGAGCCCTTCGGCAGAAATGCGAAGTCGCTGGAATTCAGGTCGGGCGACGTGACCGCGCCCTCGAACAGCTTCAGCATCACCGGGTAAACGTGATCCATTGCACGCGGGCGTGGGGGCCGCGCCTCCACTGGCAGCCCGTCAGGCCCTTGTGCTGACCGCCTCGCCCGACGAAAAGCGGCGCGCAACTGCTCCAAGCTGGGGGTCGCGAGGTCCACGAGGGGCACGCTGGGCATCGCGCTGTCGAGGAACTCGTCGAGGGCAGATGCGTCGACCTCGGCGCCCAGGAAGACAGGGGCCCAATACTTCAAGAGGGCGTCGGCGACGTCACCGGGTTGCCGGGCGACGGGGCCGTCGGGGCTGCCAGAGTGGAGTTGCAGGCCGTTCAGATAGAGGCGCTTGCGGAAGGGGGCCCACAGGGCTGCGCGCCTGCGTGCCAAGGCCTCCCAGCGCTGTAGCACGTCAGCACGCTCGGGGCTCTCGTTCTGCTTGACTCTCCAAGCGGCCAGCTGGACCTGGCGCTCATGCCAGCGACGATTGAGGTCATGATACTCGTGCTCGAAGCTGGTCGCGTCGACGAGGCGGACGACGGCGGAGTTTTCGGTCACCTCGAGGTGTCGCCGACCAAGCTCCGTGTCGCGAACGAGGTTCAGAGCGATCCAGCGGTCCTGACGCCACACCGCTCGTGCAATA